GTTTGTAATAAGAACCTACAAAAAATGGGTTTTGGGGTTCTTAAGGTGAACCCTAAACCCCTGTATTTTGGGTGTCGGTCCGGGCGGCAATTGGGCTAAAGAAGATCATGGCTGAGACCTGCCAAACGCAGCGAGAGGACGAGCCGCAAGAGAGGTTTCGGGTTTAGGGCTTAGGGGTTTAGGGGTTTAGGGGTTTAGGGTTTAGGGTTTAGGGTTCTGTCGTTGTACTGCGTCGCTGTACGGGATTGGTATTTGGGGGTTGAGAGTTGAGTTGAGGTTGTGCTAGGACGGCGACTAGCACTCATTCAAGTGCAACGCTGTTACCACTTACATCATTGGTGTGATTGCTTGCTTCTAGACGTGACTAGCATCAAAAACCAGAGCTGCTTGCTATAGGTTGAGTGGGAATATCGCTGTTGCTCGTACTCTGCCAACATTGCCGTTTAGGGGTTTTGGGTTGTTGGGGTTTAGGACTTAAGGCTGTTGGGGTCTAGGGTTCTCCTGTTTAGGGTTTTTTCTAGGGTTTAGGGTTTAGGGCTCTCTTAAAGTTTAGTGTTTCGGGCTTTCGGGAGAAGCCTAATCCGCCTAGAAGTGGGCGATGATGGGAAAAGAACGCACCAGCAAGCCGCTAATCATGGAGTTCCTACACCGCAAGACCGCAAGATCAAGAAAACCCATCCCCAAACCCTCAACTCAAAAACCCTACCCTCAAACCCTGAACCCTAAANNCCCTAAAATCCTGAACCCGACAAACCAAACTACCAAAACCAAAAAACAAACATGAGCCTAAACCCATAAACCCGAAACAACCCCAACCAAAACCTCAAAAAACCTTAAACCCGGACCTCTGAAAACCCCAAGCCTGTTGCAGCTGCTGTTTATCACTAAGCCTCCAGACGCGTTTAAAAACCGATGCCTGTTGTGGAATTTACCACGAAGTCGAAACTCCTTAATACCTGCGCCTGTTGTCGTGGGATGGTCTTCATCACTAGACTCAAAAGACCCCGAAATGCCTTAAACACCCCTGCCTGTTGCCGAACGGTCATCACTACACTATGCGTGTCGAGGTTTAACCTTGATCACTCAGACCTGCCACCTACGCCGACTTAAGCACTAAACATATTATGAGGAAAAACTATTTTTCCCCCTCTAATATGTTTAGTCCTAAACCGACTTGCCTGTTGCGGGATGATCTTCATCAGGGAGGCGTAGAGGGCAATGCCGGCGCCCTTGCCGAAGCCGCAGAGGATCACATTCTTCCACCCCAGACCTCGGGGTTTAGGGTTTAGGGTTTAGGGCTTAGGGTTTAGGGTTTAGGGTTTTAGGGCATTAGGGTTTTAGGGTTTAGGGTNNACCCCTAAACCCCTGAACCCCTGAATCCTAAACCCCTAAACCGCTAAACCCCTAAACCCCAAACCCCTAAACCCTAAATCGTAGAAACCCTAGAATCCCTAAAACCCCAAAACCCTAAACTCCTAAACCCTGAAGCACCCGAAGCCAAAGAAAGCACGCAAGACGGCTGTCAAGGTGCCAGCTGCCTTCAGCTTAGGCTCAGCAGCCTGCCGGAGCAGATTTGAGTTAGGGTTTAGGGTTCAGGGTTTTGGGTTTAGGGCTTTTAGGGCTTAGGAGTTAGGGTTTAGGGTTTTAGGGCTTTTAGGGCTTCTAGGGTTTAGGGCTTAGGGTTTAAGGCTTTTAGGGCTTTTAGGGTTAAGGGTTTAGGGTTTAGGGTTAAGGGCTCTTAGGGTTTAGGGTTTTAGGGTTTATAGACTTTAGGGTTTATAGGGGGTTAGGGTTTATACGGCTTAGGGCTTACAGGGTTTAGGGCTTTAGGGTGTTAGGGTGTTAAACCCTAAACCCTAAACCCTAAACCCTAAACCCTAAACCCTAAACCCTAAACCCTAGGGTTTAAAGGTCTAGGGTCTATAGGTTTAGGGCTTAGTGTCTCTACGGGGGGCTCTCGGGCACCCCGACGATCCCCCAAGGGCTCCCTAAAGGGCTCGTCTAAAGGGTGCCATGTCGGGATCTTTCAAGGCTTAGGGTTCCCTAAAGGGCTCTTTTAAAGGCTCCTTTAGGAGTTTTTTAGTGGTATAGGTATAGGGTTTAGGATTTAGGGTTTGGGGTTTCGGGTTTAGGGTTTAGGGTTAGGAGTTTTTTAGTGGTATAGGTATAGGGTTAAGGATTCGCGCTAAGCAAGGAGACGACGGAAGACAGGAAAGGGCACTTTCATGAGGCGAAGGGTTTGGGGCTGTAAGGCTTAAGGTTCAGAGCTCAGGGTTCAGGGTTT